GCGGCACGGGTAGAGTGCATGCGAGGCTCGCATGCAACCCATACCCGGAAATTCAAAATCACGTATATATATATCTATATATATAGATATATATACGTGATTCTGTGCACAGGTGCCGCCCTGTAGCAGTATATCTGCTATAGGGCAGTCCTTAAGCGGTTAATCAGACACAGAACCTGTGTAATTGATATGTGTTTGGTTTTAAAGGGATGAGGTGGCAACCCTAATGCAATCCAGCGATGACTGCATTTCTCAGGGTGGGTTTCCTAATGGTGACAGCAGTGCATCAGCATGCCCACTTGTTTTCTCCATCAGGAGAGCATGTGACAGGTTGACAACACAGGAGAAAAACTGAGAGACAGAATAGTATCACCCTATAACAGAAAGAGTCTAAACAGAAAATGTAATGGCAGGATCATCAGATATTATTTTAAAAAAAGCTGCAGATTTGAAAAAATTGAAAATTACTTTTGAAATCACATTGTGTTTTTAGATTATATGAGAGTTTGATTGGGTTTACACATGCTTCAACCACTTGCCTACCGGGCATTTTTACACCTTTCCTGCCAAGGCCCAATTTCAGCTTTACAGCACTGTCACACTTTAAATGACAATTGCGCAGTCATGGAACACTGTACCCAAACAAAATTTTTATACATATAGAGCTTTCTTTTGGTGGTATTTAATCACCACTGGGTTTTTTTATTTTTTGCTACGCAAACTAAAAAAGGATGAACATTTTGAAAAAAAAAAAGTTTTTTCTTAGTTTCTGTTACAAAAGTTTGTAAATAAGTAAATTTTTTCCTTCACTGATGTGCGCTGAGGCTGCAATGATGGGCACTGAGGGGCATTGACAGGCATCACTAATGGGCACTGAAAGGCAGCACTCATATATGGCACTGACAAGCAGCACTGATTGGAAATGTTAGGCGGCACTGACAGGTGGAACTGATAGGCAGCACTGACTGGCACTGATAGGCAGCACTGAAAGGCTGCTCTGATATGTGGCATTGATGTGTACTGGTAGGCACTGATATGTGGTATTGATGTGCACTGGTATGTGGCATTGATGGGAACTAACAGGTGGCATTGATGTGCACTGACAGGTGGCACTGATGGGACTACACTGATCATCAGTGCCCTGATGATCAGTGTAGATGTCTCCTCTGAGGAATGCTGCTTACCTATCTAAGAATGGGTAAACTGCAACATATTATGTTTTGGGGTTTAATACCACTTAACACCTTCCTGCCCAGTCTATAGCAGATTGAGGGCCAGGTGGGACACTCCTCCTTCTGAGTGGGCGTCATATGACGTCCTGTCAGAAGGTGCTACTCTCATGGACACCAAGCAATGATTTTAGAGGATTTCATGCTTTCTGGGGTTCACAGATTCTCTGAGCAGGCATATCTCGGACGAGCCCCTACATGTAGCACTACCTCCTTAAGGGTTGCTAGTAATTTTTGGGTTTCCTGCCAATTTGGACCTCCTTTTGAAAACCCAACCTCTGCTGACAGCACCGTACTCTTGTGACCACAATAAACCACAACTGTAAAATGGACTCACAATATGAAGTTTATACTGGCATTTAACAGCTTCCTGACCGCCCTATAGCAGAAATACTGCTACAGGGCAGCACAGGTGTGCAAAATCACGTATATATGTGATTTTTAATTTCTGGGTGGTGGGCGTGCGCGAGGAGCATGCACACCCTACCCGTGCTGCCATTCCTGGCCACGGCTGTCATTCACCAGTTCCCAGCCCGTGAATACTCGTCAGCGCCTGGTGATTGCCGAGGATCTCCGATGGGGAGAACTGTATGTAAACATAACAGTTCTCCCTGTTGGCTCTTGCACACTGCTTTGGATGGCTATGCACAGCACAGCCATCCAAAGCAGTGTGCTTACAGTGAAGCACACAGACACAAGTTAACCCTTTCATCACCCCTCATGTTAACCCCTTCCTGCCCAGTGCCATTAGTACAGTGTCAGTGTTTTTTTTAGCACTGATCACTGTATTGGTGTCACTGGGGATGTCAGTGACACCAAGTCAGTTCCCCAGGGTGTCAGATTGCCCGCCCCCAGTCCCGCTACAAGTCGCTGATTACTAGTAAAAATATATTTTTTTAAAAAGCCCAGTATATATATCGCCATTTGTAAACGCTATAACTTTCACGTAAACCAATGAATTTATACGTATTGGGATTTTTTTTTAGCAAAGACATGTAGCAGAATACATTTTGGCCTAACTTTATGACGAAATTTGATTTTTAACATTTTTTAATGGACAAGTTTATTAGCAAAAAGTCAAAAATATTGTTTTTTTTTTCTCAAAATTGTCCGACTTTTTTTTTTTAATAGCGCAAAAAATATAAAATGCACAGGCGATCAAATACCACCAAAAGAAAGCTCAATTTGTGGGAAAAAAAGGATGTAAATTTAATTTGGGTGCAGGGCTGCATGACCACACAATTGTCAGTTAAAATAATGCAACGCCTTAATGTAAAAAATGGCCTGGTCAGGAAGGGGGGTACATTCTCAGGAGGGCAAGTGGTTAATGTAACTTGGTCAAAAAGAACAGAATAACACTGTGAGTCCTCAGAACTAGACGACAGGGATTAAATGTGAAGTGAAGAGAGCTCTCATTTATAATTGATCAACATCCCTTTAAGAGGACTATAAAGTCTTCTGTGCGCATGTTGGGGCCCATTTGGAATGAAATTGAGTTAAGGTGTGGATGATAGTTCCTCAAACGGTAGACAAGAAAAGGGCAGATTTAACACTTTTCCTTTTGCTGGTAGTGTAATAGTGCAAGGTCCCCTTTAAGGCACTAGATAAAAGGCAGACTTGAAATAGTGGTGGGTAACAATTGGCATAAGTGACTATGGGCAAGGATAACTCTCTCTGGATGTCAAAGGCTAAAGGTAACAGTAGTAAGAATCCCACTCTGCCGGAAAAGAGTACTTATTGTTTCATTTGGCACTGCTGTATTCTAGCCTTCAACTGCATGTTCTGCGTTTTGCTTGGATGATGAAACTGTAATGCAGATGTATCCCAACAGTGGCAACTGGGAGCACTAGGCTATAACCTGGGGCAACTATATGTAATGTTCACAACTATGTGCAGGTAGGTAGCTCAGGTGACAAAACTGTCAGTGTTCACTTAGTTAGTGGATACATGAGACTCTCTCAGCCAATCAATGTGATCCGGTAGATCGTAGCGGTCCATCTTTTCCAGCAGATGGGGGTACCACACAGATTCCCAGCATTTCAGTGATCAGCACACTTCCTCCTCTCTTAGGCTCTCCCCTCACTCTCCTGGCCAGGCTCTCAGGCTGATATTTATATGCCCCCGCCCACACGCTACCTCTCCCCTGGGAAATGCAGTCCTTGGGCATCCTGCTCACCATTCAAGTCAAGCTGTTCATTTTAATGTGTTTGATAGGATTATACTTCAGGAGAAAGCCCTAGTTCACAATGGACTAGCCCTTGTTCACACTGGATGTGTGAAATCGCGCTATGTCAAGTTATTTCAAAGCTGCAGATCAGTGTGACTTTTATCTCCAATTTCAGACTTTAGCTGCAATTTGTAAATTGCTTTTCACACCTGAAGTTGCTCCAGTGTGAACCAGGGCAAAGTCACAGATTGGAGACACATTATATGAGACTGTTATTGATCACTACTATTACAGCTTCTTTACAAATGGATGAACAGTGCTGAAAAAGTAAGATTGTATGAAAGAACTACTAAAGACCAGTTTAAAGATTTCTTTTTTCACTGGCCTAAGTACCAAAACATAGACTCATGGGACTCCTAGTATGGTGTAATAAGGGCCAAAGGGCTACAGGTTGGGAACCAGGGGTCCATGGCCTTCCAACTTTAATTTGAATTAGAATATTTTTAATCAGCATTCACCAGTTTGGAGCAATCTAATGCACTGTTCCTGCATCACCAAATTTTCTGCATATTTTATTTTATAATGACTTTAAACAGCATGCCTGTTTACTCTGTGCAGCAGCAGATCATAATTGTTGCCATCCAAGATGGAATTGAATAACTTTAGCTTATATCTCACTTCTGGATGCTTAGTTCAGATGGTACCTATCTATAGATTAATGTACCAAGTTATTTACTTCCATCTTAGATGGCAACAAATAAGATCTACTGCTGTAGGTTATATGCTGTGCATTTAGGACGCCTTTGCTATCTATGGTTCATTAAAGTATATGAGAACACCTACCTTGCAAAACAACTCTTTCAGTTTAAAATAGAAATGTAAAATGTGTATATGTATGTGTATATATATATATATATATATATAAATAATTTTTTTTCTGTTTTGTTTATGAGTGATCGCTTAATCTTTGTTCTCAGCTGCATGAGAGACTTAGAAAGGTGGGGGTGGAGAAACAGTAGAACACTAATCTACCCCGTGAATGACAGTGCAGAGGAGTGTGTCAGCAGAAGTTTTGGCCATTGGAGGACAGCCAGGCTGTTCTCCCAGCACAGCCAGAATACTGACCGTGCTGGGATGGGTGTGCTCTCATGCCTAGCGTGGCCAATTTGCAATAGGAAATCAGGGGGACAGGAGGGATCACCAATTATTTCACACAAAGGAAGCAATGCAAAGAAAACATGATACTTTTAAACCAAAGTACAATATACACATATCAGGAATATGAAATGTTAGGGTAATGTAGTATTTAAAGGACAACTAACTTAAAAAGAGGAGGTAATGTTCATACATTTACATTCTGAGCTGTATGAAATCGGTAAATGTACCACATTCTATAAAACGGTTTTCTCAATTGCTTATGATGGTGTGCTTACCAGATCATTAAACCTTATAGCTATCATTAGCACTTGATCCTACATTGGGTATCCTACAATTAGAAATATCTTTTTCTGTGGTAGACAAAGCATGAGCTCCTATAACTAAGGCCATGTTCTACAGATGTCCAATTCATTTGTGTTTATGCAGTCTAAACAGTAAAAGCTGTAATGTTTTTTTTCTTGTTTTTTTCTAGGGAGATTCCAGAGCCCAGTTCCTCTTCTCAAGATACTGGAGGATTTCTATCCGTAGAAGACTTAGGAGCAAGATTTCAGTTTTGTATTGCTGCTGTAGAGGATCTGGAAAGGGAACGTGATGAACTCATAAGTGAACTCACCTTGCTTCGGGAGCCTTCTTTAGAGGCTGTACAGAGGGCACATGAGGAAATAGTTCAGGCTTTTGCTCAACGTTCCCGTGTTGAGCTTGAGAGGGACACTCTAAGGGAAGAAATAAGGGGAATACGCCATAGGCTCTTCCGTGTGACCAAGGAATGCGTGGCTTGTCAATACCAACTCGAAAATCGCCAACAAGAGTTAGTTCAGAGAAAAGCAGAAAGAGAAGAGCTAGAGGTTCTTGCAGCCCGTTTGACAGATGAGCTTACCCAACTTCGGAACACCTTTACACAGCAAAGAGAGGGAGAAGAGCTACGCCTTAGAGCTCCACACACCAGGCAGGTCTCACGTGACATTCAAGAGAGAAGGAGATTGTCTGCAGATCTACAAAGTTTGACTGACGAAAAACACAATTCTCTACAAGATGAGTATGGACCTAAACTGCTACAACTGTTGGAGCGTGTTGAAAAGGGAGCACAAGCTGTCAAAGATACACAAGACGAATTGCTGAGAATGAGAGAACAGATCAGACCACTGCAAGGGGAGGCATGTTATCTGCAGGCACAGAAATACAACCTACAGGAGCAAATTCTTCTCATGAAAAAAAAGCGGGGAGAGGAAGCACTGCTCTATAGGGTAAGAATACAAGAGAAAACATTGAAGACGTTACTGATACTACCTTAAAAAAATTACAATTTCAAAACCACGCCATATACGATCAATCTTCCCATTAAGGTGAATGTAAGAACTTTTTTGAAAATGCCCCATGTTCTTTATAACAAGCATGTGTTATATAGAGAAATTCTAGCAATTACCCATCTGTAAAATAGTGGAGGGATATAGAATGAAAATGACACTCATTTCTGTAACCTTATGCAGCCAGACTACCACTTGGCATCCTGTCCTGCTTCTCTGTCTCCCTGAATTTTAGAATAAGTGACCCAGGATCATGATTTTGAAGTAGCGGTTAGGGGCACAAGAGTATTAATTTACCCTTACTGACACCAGTGCAATTTGTGGATTTCAGATGCGGCCCATTAATAGAAAATCAGTTCTATTCGGGACAAAAAAAAAGATTTTGGGATGTTTTACTTTCAAGCAAACAAATTTCATTGTGACATTGATGACATAATTGTGTTCATTTTTGTCATGATAATGGTTAGTTTAGAGTCTGGTGTCATTTAAAAAGTTAGGTTTAAAAGTACATTATATTGCCAGAAGCATTGGGACACCCCTCCAAATCATTGAATTCAGGTGTTCCAATCACCTCCATGGCCACAGGTGTATAAAATCAAGCACCTAGGCATGCAGACTGCTTCTACAAATATTTGTGTGAAAGATTGGGTCGCTCTCAGGAGCTCAGAGAATTCAAGAGTGGTACCGAGATAGGTTTCCACCTGTGCAATAAGTCTATCCGTGAAATTTTTTTGCTACTAAATATTCCACAGACAACTGTTAGTGGTATTATAACAAAGTGGACATATCTGGGAACAACAGCAACTCAGCCACGAAGTGGTAGGCCACGTAAAATGACAGAGCAGGGTCAGCACATGTTGAAGCGCACAGTGTGCAGAGGTCACCAACTGTCTGCAGTATCAATAGCTAAAGACCTCCAAACTTAATGTGGCCTTCATATTAGCACAATAAAAGTGCATAGAGAGCTTCTTGAAATGGGTTTCCATGGCCGAGCAGCTGCATCCAAGCCTTACATCGCCAAGTGCAATGCAAAGCGTTGCATGCAGTGATGTAAAGCACGCTGCCATTGGACTCCAGAGCAGTGGAGACATGTTCTCTGGATTAACGAATCATGTTTCTCTGTCTGGCAATCTGATGGACATGTCTGGGGTTTGGCGGTTTCCAGAACGTTACTTGCCTGACTGCATTGTGCCAAGTGTAAATTTTGGTGGAGGGGGGATTATGGTGTGCGGTTGCTTCTCAGGGGTTGGGCTTGATCCCTTAGTTCCAGTGAAGGGAATTCTTAAGGCGTCAGCATGCCAAGACATTTTGGACAATTGCATGCTCCCAACTTTGTGGGAACAGTTTGGGGATGGCCCCTTCTTGTTCCAACATTGCTGCACACCAGTGAACAAAAGCAAGGTCCCTAAAGATATGGATGAGCGAGTTTGGGGTGGAGGAATTTGACTAGCATCTGCAGATGACTAAACTCAACCCAACGGAACACCTTTGGGATGAATTAGAGAGGAGACTTTGAGCCAGGCCTTCTCCTCTGATATCAGTGCCTGACCTCACAAATGCGCTTCTGGAAGAATGTTCAAACATTCCCATAGACACTCCTAAACCTTGTGGACAGCTGCAAAGGATGGGCCAACTCAATATTGAACCCTACGGACTAAGACTGAGATGCCACTAAAGTTCATTTGAGTGTAAAGGCAGGTGTCCCAATTCGTTTGCCAATATAGTGTAGATTCAGTGGTTAAATTGAGGAAGAGGTTTGGGTCAAAGTTTGATTTAAGACAGAGGTACGCAACCTTTTGAAGAGCGAGGGCCAGTTAAGTGGTAACCTGGCACAGGCCACAATGTACAATGGGGTTTTACTACTCCCCCAAACTGCAAATGTAAATGAGCCCTTACTGTCCCAAGCCTTTGTAAGGCTGCCTCACACTGATGTGCTGAGGTTCACCTGCATCACGGGTGCAGCGCACTGCACCTGTGGTTTTCCTGTGGGTTAGCTGCGCTTTGCATTTGACATCTATTACATCTTGTGGGTGTGGTGCACCTTCTGAAAGCACAACAAACCTGCAAGATATAATAGAAGTCTATCACTGAGTGCAACAAATAAACTGCTGGAAAGCAGCCGTTTGCACCTGTGGATTAGTGTGAAAGCAGCCCAATAGTTGTTAACACTTTTGTAGGTGCTAATATATTCATTGCAAAAGCTATTACGCCCAGTGTATGTGTTGTTTATTACATTGGCCTTCTTTTCCTCTTCCAGCTTATTCTGGCATCACTGTCCAGACTGCTAGAAAGGATTAGAGGAGGAATGCACTGGGTATCTCTCTACATGGGACAGGAGCCAGCGCTACAGAAGAAGTATTGGCTTATGCTGCTCCTACTCCCTCCACAGCCACCTGCTCCCTCCACTGCCAGCGCTGGCTCACTGCACTCTGATACTGTGGGCTGGCGGGTTGGCACGTTCAACAACAGGTTGTTGACCCCAGGCATGAGCTTTGCTTGTTTGAGGTTGTGGGCCACATCAAGTCGCTCCATGGGCCATGGGTTGAGCACCCCAGGTTTAAGAGGTAGAATTGCATTTTACAGACTAAGCTCTGATTAGCAATTAGGGTGAAGTTACTGATTAGAGGTTCATTTGAGCTATAGGCTGAGATTAACCAATGTTTTTAGCATTTGGATTGTGAAATTGATACTTTTTTCCAATTCTGATAAATTTGGTTTGGTTAGGTGTGATAAATTAAAATATACATGAACTCTTACTTTGTAAAACAACCCATTCAGTTGTACTAAGCTGCATAAGGGGTTTAGAGAGGTGGGGATGGAGACTTCAGGGAGGAGGGGTCAGCAGAAGGAGAGGAACAGTAATACACCAATATTACCAGTGAATAGCCATGTGGGGAGGGGGAAGGGTGCCAGTCTCGTCCAATGGAGGACAGGCAAGCAGTTCTCCTAGCACAGTCAGAACATTGACCATGCTGGGGAGGATGTGCATCTATGCCTAGCGTGGTCAGTTTGGGATAGGAAAGCCAGGACACTGACAGGACCACAAGGCATTTTTACACAAAGGAAGCAATGCAAAAAGAATAGGATAAATTTAACACAAGTACATAGTACAACACACACATGATAGGAATATGAAATGTTGGAGTAACATACTCTTTAATACGCTTTAATAGACACCAATTGTATTTCAATACAAGAAAATGACTCATTGAAGGTGCAGGGCTGGGCATTCGTCAACAACATCTGGTTATTACTTTACACTAGCATTACTAAACTTTTAAAATGGTAAAATATCGGCTGTTACAAGTTAATGCAGTTTTTTTTTTTGCACTTTGTTAGTCTAGGTTAGGTTATGCTGGTGGTAAAATGCTCATCTGTTACTGCTGGAAGTCACTTCGCACTCCACAACTCAAGGAGTATTCTTTTTATAGGACAGCATCAGTCATGGCCATAGATCTGAAGCATTACCCTTTATCCTTCTGCCCACTCACTGCTTGTTCTTGCCAAGAAAACTGGGATATAGTTTAAGTAACTCAGGAAGAGCGTGTGTATCTTCTTCTCACATAGCTCTTTCAGTGAGGTGCTGGGAAACAGTAATCACAACCCACATCTGACGCCAAAGTCTAGTGTTAGAGAGCAAAAAGTTCCACCTACAAATCTATTATAATTTAGAGTGCACAGAGCTAAATTATTGGTGCCATTGGCTTTCACGTGTTAAAGAAAGCTTGTGGTGGAGCAGCATTTTGCTACTAGTTACAGTAAATTGTTCTAAAATACATAAGAAAGCTTTAAAATGCATTAAAGCAAACCTAGAGGTAATTTTTAATGTTAGGTATAACAGTCACTGATATATATAACCTCTTAAAGAGATCCCAGTACTTTGCATGACAATATCTTATCTACACTTTAATTCTATATGGCTGGTTCAATTTATTAGTTCAGAAAATATACAGTATATGGGCAGGAGCAGAATTTTAGTCATGCCAGGCCAAGTCAAAATCAGGCAGGCAGAATCCAAAAGGCATTCTGGCTCAGCATCTAGAATTGGATTCTCAGATCACTGGTATATACCTGTAGACCAACCAGCAGCTCTAGGTCTCACCCCATGGTCTGTTCAGGTGTGATAGGATGGTAATGTTCAGAATAAAAACCAACTGAAAACTGAGCATGTGCAATAGCTGCCAACACTGCAAAATCCCCAACTGCATTGAGGACATTACAACTGCATTGGGGAGTTACAGTATGTCTCAAAATGGACACGTTGTCAATCTCCTACTGGAGCCTCTTACCTTGTGAGTTGCCGGAAAGTTACAATTTGCAACAGTCCCAGTAAATTATCAGAGGAAGTGGAGACTAATGCATCCTGCAAGAAAAAGACATCATTCTTTTAAAATGCTGTTCTCAGGCCTAGGTACAATCATATGACTGGAGAAGGATTGCTTTTTAACCACTTGCCCTCCAGAGGATTTACCCCCCTACCTGACGAGGCCATTTTTTGCGATGCGGCACTGCGTTACTTATTATTTATTTCAGGTACTTATATAGCGCCATCAATTGTACATTCATATCAGTCCCTAACCCTCAAGGGGTAACAATCACATCACATTCATACATACACATACTAGGGCCAATTTAGACAGGAACCAATTAACTTACCAGCATGTCTTTGGAGTGTGGGAGGAAACTGGAGTACCCGGAAAAAAACCCACGCAGGCACAGGGAGAAACATGTAAACTCCAGGCAGGTGGTGCCGTGGCTGGGATTCGAACCAACGACCCTAGTACTGCCAGGCGAAAGTGCTAACCATTTAGTCACTATGCTACTTTAACCGACAATTGCACGGTCATGCAACGTTGTCTTTTTTCCCCACAAATAGAGCTTTCTTTCGATGGTATTTGATCACCTGTGCGTTTTTTATTTTTTGCGTTATAAACAAAAAAAAACCCGACAATTTAAAAAAAAAAAACAATATTTTTGACTTTTTGCTA